TAATCAGTTTGCAGGTTAGGGATCCTTTTAGGTGTACAGTCCAGCCTGCTCTAACAACCCCGTGAAAAAGACAATAACCGGTTCAAATAGCCACTTTCCATTTCTCTCTTACTTTTTTTGTTTTACATTATTATGACATTGTGTAAGATATGCTCTTGTATAAGACAAGTACTTTCTCTTCGACAGTGGGTGGCTGTTTTTGGCAATTTCGGCAGTATTTATTATCTTGAAGAGCAATCTGCGCGCTCATATGACCTTAGCAGTTGCGAGCGCCGTAAAACCTTATACTACTACTAGAAGAGCAATCTAATCCACATCCCCACATGTGCTTTTCGACGGCGTATTCTTTTTCTTTTATCATAATATTTGTACAATGGTACGAAATTTGTGTGGTATCGTGGTGTAATCAAAGATCGTTATGTTTGGTGTCATCAAGGGCTTGTAAAAAAAAATGAAATCGAAGAAACTGGCATTTTCCACTCGTTGGGCAGTTTAAAAATAATATTTTGGGGGGGCTCAACACCTTCTATATATGTCAATTTTAAAACATATTTATGTATGGGTTTCACTGAAAAAAGAAACCACTCTGATCAAGGACACGAAACATGTAAATTTTCTGTTTCCAAGGACACTGAAGCTTTGGAAGTCACCAAACTTTGGAAGACATTTCTCCCTAATTTTTCCTCTGATCCCGCCTGCTTCAACCGCAAATATTCGACTTCTATTCAAGATAGATGGGTATCATTTCATCAAAAGCAAGACAAATGAACAAGCTTCAAGGCGATACCAATAGATCTAACTCCATATTATGCCCCAAAATTAATATGCGCCTGATTTCACTGTGTCCTGACATATTTCCATTTGACTCCCGCTTAGGAACATCTTTGGTTCTCTGGACCAAAATATCTTAAGTTTTATTTTGGAGACAGTAACCCTGTTGCTCAGTGTGGGAAAATATAAGTAACTGACCTATCTCAATCAATCGTCCTCACGCCATTTGCCTCACAGTAAACAACGCTACTGTCACATGCTACTGACACAGACCCGGCGTCTCCGTGCAGCGCTAAGGCACTTTGTCATCGCACGCAGAAGAGCAGAGCCCGATTCCCTAGAAGGGAAAATATTTATCGAGCATCTCGGTCTTTCTGTTGTAACACTGTATCCCTATCAGCCTGGGCTGGTGTTAACAGTCAGGACCGAAGCTGGTCTCCTAAATGATCTATAGTTTCGAAGGGTGTAAAAAAATAACCTTGATCAAAAATATATGCTGGCCCTACATAATTTTGAACTCATGGATTATGGGGGTGACAATTATAGCTGCTCATATATCTTTCGGCAGCACGATGTTTCTATATTCTTTTGGGTGGCCAAGGCCACTTGGCCTTGTTTTATTTTGAAGACAGTTGCCCAATGTAGAAAAATAAAAGTAACAGATCTATCTCAATGAATCGTCTTCTCGCTACCTCAGAATGACAACGTTCTATCTGACCTATTTGGCCGTTTGAGTCAGAAACCCAAATGTTCTGTATGCTCCACCAAATCGTAAGATTGTTCGGAGTCGTTTTCGAGATATTCAAAGAATTGCCTTTAAAAAAGCTTGACGTGTTGTAAAACTCGATATCTTTTACTTCAAATTCCTCAGAACTAGTTACAACACAGATAGAACTTTGTAATTCTAGGATAGTGATTTGCCTCACTGTAACATTACTAACACATGCTATCTTCCCGTCGCCATCGTAAGTTTTGTTGCTGTTGTTGCTGCTGTTGCTGCTGTTGCTGCTGTTGCTGCTATCGTTGTTGTTGATTTCATTGTTAAGTTTGCTTCTGTTGTTTCTGTCATTGTTGATTTCGTTGTCGTTGTTGCTGCTGTTGTTGTTGATTTGGCCTTCGATTTTTGTTGTTGTCGTTGTTGATTTCATCTTAATTGTTGTATGTCGCTGTTGATTATTTCATTATCGTTGCTGTTATTGCCGCTAGTGTTTGTTAATTTAATTGTTATTGCCGTTATCATTATTGTTGATTTCACTGTCTTTACTGTTGCCGTTGCCATTGCTGTTGATTTCATTGTTGTTGTTGTTGTTGTTGTTGTTGCTGTTGTTGTTGTTGTTGTTGATGACTATGATTTTACTGTCGTTGCTGTTGTGGTTGTAGTCGTAGTTGTTGTTATGGGAGCTTAACACCCTACATAGGCTCAATGCCATTTCGAAGTCGGAACTCAGCATCTCCCACGCGACACACGTTTGACAGAAGATTTTACACCAAAAAAAAAACCTTTCGGAAGGAAAGAGAAGAACCTTTCTTGGATTCGAACCTTGAACTTTTGCGTGGCAGGTCACGTTCATAGTCTAGTGCTCCATTGAGGCCAGCATAAAACACGTTGGTATGACAAAAACAAAACAAAAAGCATGCCTGCTGAGATAAAGGACCGCAAAAAAAGAAAGGAAGGAAGAAAGAAAGGTAGAAAGGAAGAAAGGGAAAGAAAGAAAAAAAAAGAAAGAAAGAAAGAAAGAAAGAAAGAAAGAAAGGTAGAAAGAAAGAAAGAAAGAAAGAAAGAAAGAAAGAAAGAAAGAAAGAAAGAAAGGAAGAAAAGGAGGGAATAGCAGCAACCCCACACAGGTTCACCGCTTGGGGGTAATATTTCAACCTGTCAACTCCCCGGAAACCTGAACGATCGTAGCGCCAGGAAGCCTTTTCGTTCCTGTCCATTGGCCATTGCATGATGACTCAGCATATCCGTCGAAAGGGAAACAACAAACTCGGCAAGAATTTATTGCCCTAATGTTAGATTACGAGCCTTCCGCATAAACGTATACTGAAAAATGGCGCAACTCAAAAGGGATAAGGAATTAGCGTGGCCATTATTCTTACAATGCTGTATAATAAGCTGATGCCATATGCTTTTCGAGACAAGTCGGTGTATAAAAAGTAATTCAACGAGGACAACTCATAATAATGATAATAATATTTCCTAGTTTCTTCGGTTTCCGTGTCAACAGTGTGAACGTGTCTGTGTCAATAATTAGTTGACTTATTTGTTTAGCTTCCTTCCTTGAGGTGTGAGGTTTTCTTATTTACAATGATAGTCATTGAATGAGTAAAGTGATATACTGTATATTATTCAGAATCCTTCACCTTGTAGTTTCCCACCTTGAACAATAATATAAGTTGGATAGACCTACTGTCACCAGTAATAGCAGTAGGCAGCAAATCGAGACTGAAGTAACAGAGTAAAGACCAACAAATAAGTGCCATTGGAACTTATTGTCATAATTTGTGGTTCCGTTGGAGAAGAGTAAGGGTTTTCAACAATTGAAAAAAAAAAGAATAAAGACCAAATGAAAACGATGCGCTATCAGAAAAATCATGATTCATCCCCATCATCATCATCATCATCATCATCATCATCATCATCATCATCATCATCATCATTTAAAAATTCAGCTTTGTCTTCAAAGCTTCTTCCATTACCATTTCAGGCAGTGAAACTTTTTCATAACGAAGGTTCCACCTGAAAGGGCGCACATTACGTAAATATGCTTCAAATGAAAGAGGAGAAACTTTTACAGGAGCTAATCAGGTTCAAAGGAAGTGCAGATGCAGATTTGTGAACGCATTGGGGAAGACATTGACCTGTGATCCATTCTTGACGACAGTTTCCATCTCTGCGATTTACACACCCTATCTCCCCCCCCCCCCCCACGGTAAGACACCATCAAGTGTACTGGAGGTTAGAGTGCACCATGCGTCAGTGCTTCCATATCTCCTTTTTCTATTCCAATGTTGTGTTTGTATATTTCTGTCTGCCTGTCTTCTATTTCCCATTATATATGATGATCATTTTCATGGTGATGTGTTTCCTCGTAACTCAAACAAATCACCGCGTCCTCTCCGATTTCTGTCTCGTAAAGCAAGCTCTCACTTAGCCCAGCACGTAAAAAAGACTGAAGCTTAAATATTTTGTCAAAGGGACTTCACATTTCTGCTGGTGCATTTCTCCTACAACCCTGGTTGGCCGTTAAAAAAACAAGCAAGGTTTAAATGAGCTTGCCTTTTATTACGGTATTTAAAGATTATTTGAAAGTGGTTTTTTTTAGAATCAACAAACTTGCAGTCCGCATAAACATTACAGTCTCTGTTTTATGCTACATACAGAAAAGATTTATATAAATACTTTTTTCCATTTTTTCCCCACCAGTCAGCCTAATTGAAATGAACCAATTTCAAAGATTAAAAAAAATTATGAGCTCTTTAAGATACACGTATTTGTTAGTTGTGCAAGTAGTAACCCAAATTCACGCCTTGTTTAAAATAAAGGAGATTGTGTCGAATCTATAGATAATGAAAATAAACTGAGGGGAAGAGTCAGAGGCAGTTTCTAAGACACACGAATCAACATAAAAGCCTTGAACCTCTTGCTCTTGCCAGACAAAAAGAAGGTAAATGAGGGACAAGAATACTATTAATAACTCTGAGAACTCGAACAGATGGGTAACTGGGAAAGACTAGAACATTGTACATGTAGGTTTTAGAGGTAAACAAAAAATAGGGCGTTACCTGACTGAAGGAGCCAACTGCGGCTGTGTGGTATACATAAATATCACATTCCTCGTTTTTCATTAAATCCTATAGTCGTAGAGATTGGCCATTGTGGTTTTTTGTTTGTTTGTTTTCTGTTTTATTCTTTGTTTCAGTCTTATTTTGTTTTCTTTTGTTTTGTTTAGTTGTTGTTGTTGTTTTGTTGTTGTTGTTGTTGTTATTTTTTTAAAAATTACTTTTTTTTTTGGGGGGGGGTGACCTGATTCTTCTCTGATCTCTTACTAACTTAATTGTTTAACTTCAGGCCTGTTCTTAGATTTGTTCGGTGATGATGATGATGATGATGATGATGATGATGATGATGATGATGATGATGATGATGATGATGATGATGATGATAACCCCATCTTCCTGCCCCCTAAAAAAAGATTTTAAAAAGTCTACATGTTCTCTTTATAGGCAAAATGACGCCAGCAATAAGCTACGTACTATTTTCGGTCTTGGTGATTTCACGTCTTCTGGCGACTGTGTCCGGGAACTTCCTTGACCTACTGACCTTTAACATGATGTGCAACGAGGACGCCGGTTACACGTAAGTGAACGAAGAAGGTGACACTGTGGCTGGGGACGGGGAAATGGGGGGTTTTGGTTAGGGGGTGGGGGAGCGTATTCAGAGTCTGGATACAAGGCCATTCTCTTAATCCTTTTGACCTGTGTTACAGACACAGAGAAGAGGTGCGTTCGTGGTTTATTCTCTCTCTCTCCCTCTCTCTCTCTCTCTCTCTCTCTCTCTCTCTCTCTCTCTCTCTCTCTCTCTCTCTCTCTCTCTTTCTCTCTCTCTCTCTCTCTCTCTTTATCTCTCTCTTTATCTCTCTCTTTCTCTCTCTCTCGCTTTAAGGCGATACGCGTACCAATAACTCTTTATGCCCCAAATTGACGAGCGCCTGATTCCATCGTGTCGTGACACATATTTTGAGGGTCAGCCGATTTTACCACTAGGGCGACGATATCTTTCTCTCTGAAAACAAAATTAGTATACTTGTGATATACATGTCACTTTCTTTTTCATACTGTAATATGTTCGTATAATTAAGATCATGTGTATACAAGCGTGTGCTCTGGTGTGGTTTGCTCCTTCATCCCAATCAAACATCTATCGTCTTTATCTCTTAACCCTTTTGGATGTGTTCTTCTCTTGTAACAACTCTAATTTTTGGCACTTATACGACCTCATCGTGTTGCGAGTTCCGTAAAATTCTTACCAAAAAAACTGTTGAAATCTGAGACACTACGTGTGTTGCAAGTGCCATAAAACTCTCCTGTAACACCTCTAATCGTCAGCAGACAAACGATTTAATTGTGTTGCAAGTGCCGTAAGACTCTAACTAAAAAAACGAACAAACCAACCAACCAACCAACCAACCAACCAACCAACCAACCAACCAACCAACCGAAAAAGCAAACAAACCCAACAAAGAAACAAATGAACACACAAACAAAGGAACAAAAAACAAACAAATAAAATTCAGTTAAAAACTCAACCCCACGGGTTTCCCTCACGTCCATAGATTTGTTCGCGGTGACCCCTGGGACTGTAACCGCTACCACATGTGTATGGCGGGAATTCCGTTCCAGGGCCGGTGTGGACCAGGCCAGGTGTTTGACCAGAAGACCCACAGGTGTAGGGCGCCGTCCACTACTGACCAACCACGGTGTGCGCGTGCAGTCACAGGTGTGTGTGAGTGTGTGTGTGTGTGTGTGTGTGTGTGTGTGTGTGTGTGTGTATGTGTGTGCGTGCGCGTGCAGTCACAGGTGTGTGAGTGTGTGTGTGTGTGTGTGTGTGTGTGTGTGTGTT